CATTAGTTAATTATAGACTGATGATAACCAAGTATATATATATCATTAATTAATTAAAGAATGAGGATAACCAAGTATATATATATCATTAGTTAATTATAGACTGATGATAACCAAGTATATATCATTAGTTAATTATAGACTGATGATAACCAAGTATATATCATTAATTAATTAAAGAATGAGGATAAACATATATTCATCACTTATTCTAACTCCTTGTACATTAAGTGCTAATAAAAACTACACTGCTCACTCAGTTTCTTTCACAAAATACGGCACGTTAACACAACACGGTATAAGTAATTTACATGATTCTGCTAGTTTCTAAAATTAAGGCTTATTTTCTGGATTACATTACTCATAAAATTTATAAAGCTAGAAAATTTTGAATTCCTTTAATCATTGTCTAATAATTTCTATTTGTATCAGCAATGCAATGTCAACCAAAAAACAGAAAATTTTCTATGTGTACACAAATATTAGTGGCAAATCATGTGAAACTTCTACCATTTTGTTCAACATATTTCATGTTAGAAGTTAAAACAAAATAGAAACTGGATAACAATTCCAATATGTTCTTAGCAATTACAGTGGCTTTCTAATTCAGTATTACTTCAAAAGCTAAATTTAAGACATTTTTTTAACAATATGTAAATGTGGTTTAATGTTTAAATTTGTTTTATTTGTTGTTGAATTTCTAAACTTACAGAAGCCAGCTCCTGCATGAGAGTTGAATTCTGAAGACGAAATTCATCCTCTTGACTCTGAAGCTTCAACTGGAGGCTTTCATTTTCTTGTAACAGCTGTTCAACATCTTTTGCTTTCTTACTGCGATTAATGGCCTAAAACAGTGAAATACGTGTACTTTATCAAGATTCAAAACACTTGTTGTTCTTGTACAAAACTACACAAGGGCTACCTTAGCTACCCATTTCTAGCTTTGAGCCAATAGACAAGGGGGAAACAACTAGTCATTAGCACCCACCACCTCCTCATCGACTCCTCTAATCAAATAATGTGAAGCATGATTTTTGTGGCCACAGGAAGTGATCTACAGACCCTCGGATATAAATAACATTCAACATCATATCCAAATAAAGGTAAATTAAAATGACAGTAATTTGATTTTCAAATGTAAGATTAGTAAACAAGTACAATTTAGAAGTACACTTTAAACTCCTGAGTACAGTGTTATTACGACAGACAAACCCAATTAAGATGTTGTTATTACAAAAGTACAATATAAATACAGGGTAAACACCAAAATGTAAAATGTTATTATTACAACAGAAATACAGTTTAAACACTTGAGTAAGATGTTATTAGAACAGTACAATATAAAAACATGGTAAACACCCAAATAAGATATTATTACAACAGAAATACAGTTTAAACACTTGAGTAAGATGTTATTATTACAACTGAAATACAGTTTAAACACCAGAGTAAGATGCTATTATTACAACAGAAATACAGTTTAAACACTTGAGTAAGATGTTATTATTACAACAGAAATACAATTTAAACACCTGAGTAAGATGGTATTATTACAACTGAAATACGGTTTAAACACCAGAGTAAGATGTTATTATTACAACAGAAATACAGTTTAAACACCAGAGTAAGATGTTATTATTACAACAGAAATACAGTTTAAACACCAGAATAAGATGTTATTATTACAACAGAAATACAGTTTAAACACCAGAGTAAGATGTTATTATTACAACAGAAATACAGTTTATACACCTGAGTAAGATGTTATTATTACAACAGAAATACAGTTTAAACACCTGAGTAAGATGTTATTATTACAACAGAAATACAGTTTAAACACCTGAGTAAGATGTTATTATTACAACAAAAATACAGTTTAAACACCAGAGTAAGATGTTATTATTACAACAGAAATACAGTTTAAACACCAGAGTAAGATGTTATTATTACAACAGAAATACAGTTTAAACACTTGAGTAAGATGTTATTAGAACAGTACAATATAAAAACAGGGCAAACACCCAAATAAGATATTATTACAACAGAAATACAGTTTAAACACTTGAGTAAGATGTTATTATTACAACAGAAATACAGTTTAAACACCAGAGTAAGATGTTATTATTACAACAGAAATACGGTTTAAACACCTGAGTAATATGTTATTACAACAGTATACTTCTAAAGCTCATACACTTACCTAACACATTCCTTTATAAGAACAGTATATTAAATTAACTATAATCATTACTAGCTTTATTTCTATATCAGTAGCTCGTTTTGATCAGAAGTTAATATTGAGCTTTAACTACCTAAACAACATCAGTTACGGCTTCATTTAGACTTACAACAATCTGATCAATAGCTTTCTTTGGGACAAAAGGTCTAATGCATTTATTTTCTATGTAAGTTTTTACATAAAAGTAAAAGCTTACATAATTAGCTATTTACACCACTTAAGAAGGTACCAAGCTAGTTTTATTAAATTATCCTACTGTTGTGTTTCATATCTGTGTATCATCATGTAAACAGAACAGATTCTAAGTGAAGAAAACAAAACAAGTAACAAAACAAACCTTCTGTGCCTTACTGAGCTCTTTCTCCAGATCATCTACTTTATGTTGTAGTTGTCCAAGTTCTGAAAAATATGTAAACTTCAATGCATTCACAAGTCTAGCATCTGTTTTGTATATATATATACACAGTTATACTTTTTGTCAAGTCATTCATGGCAGATGACTGATCACTTTATCTAGTAGTACCCATGATCCACCTTGAGGAAAGCATGCAATATTTCTATCAAAACTAAAATATATCAATATTTATTATCTAGCTCACAAAACTACACAGTTATATCTACCAACCCATAATGCAGCATCTATACACTGTACACATCATCAACCCATACTTCAGTAGCTGTAAAATGTATACTTTACAACACACACAGTGATTGACCCAAAATTCAGCAACTACATGTATCATGATTCATATCAACAACACTTATTAACAACTAACTTCTGTCTATTTACAAACGTACAAATAAATGAAAGAAATTAACTCACCATTATGCTGCTTCTGATTTGTTTCCTCTAGGCTGTAGTTTTTTGATCTTAAATCCAACAACTGAGTCTGCAAAACACAAATTATGTTCAATGAGACAAATGTCCACTTATTTCAAAGTTTTCACATAAAGCTAAACTCTGAAATAAAACACTAGAGGAAAGACAGCTGGTCAGCAGCACATACCACAAACTCCTTGGCTACTGTTGCCTGATTGAACAGTGTGGTTTGATGATCACTCCTATAGTGCACTAAAACCCCCATTAGACCATGTTCAGCTCCAAAAGACACAATTTAAAAAAATACATAAAATTATAAGTAATAAATAAAACACCTTTTTAATTTTTCAAATAAAACTGATTTAATATGTAATAGATAATTGAAACTATATATTTTAAAACTTAGTTACGTCATTGCAGGTAACGATAAATAACTAAACAAATGAATCATATAAATAACAGGATACTTTTTAAAACATTGAATAAATTACACACTAAATACATTATCTCTACTGAAGAGTTATATTATGTAGTACTCTTATTGTGATAGATTTTTTTTCACCTTTCTGCAAACAAATACTCATCCAGAAAAGTTAACAGTTTGCAAACAATTACCATCCAGGATTTAATTCTGTACAAAAAACCAGTACATAACCACTTGTCAAGAAACATTATGAACCTGAACAGAAGAAATCAAACTTTATAACATTAAGATGTCACTTAGCATTTAAAAGCACCTTTTGGTGAATGGCCATATTCTATGCCTGATTTTTTTCAGGCTGGAATACAATTATTTTAAAACTGGTTCTGTAGCATTCAAAAACACCAGAGTTAATCTTGTTAGTGTAAAGATCTGAAAGAGACATACAGAAGGAATATCTCAGAGCCTGTTGATTCAATAAAACAGTAACAGGATTACTTGAAGACCCAGCTTTCTGTCAATATATGTCAATTCATACTTCATATTAAAAAAAAAACATTTTTTTTTATGAAAAATCTTAAAATACTACAAATTTATCCAATCAGACAGGGAAATTCCCAGTAGTTTATACAAACACAACAAGAATGTGATATGATAAATTTCTGCTGTTAGAGCACAGGTCAATCCCACAGAAAATGTTCACAGGTTTAAACTTTTTCCAACTGTTATTAATGTGAATTCTGGTGAAACATGATCCAGCTAATTTGTATCAAATAAAAAAAGTAAAAGCCTACATAATTACATCTTATCAAACTCATTATGGTTAAACTTACATAATTACATCTTATCAAAATCATTGTGGTAAAAGTAAAAGCCTACATAATTACATCTTATCAAATTTGTTGTGGTAAAAGTAAAAGCCTACATAATTACATCTTATCAAACTCGTTGTGGTAAAAGAAAAAGCATACTAAATTACATCTTATTAAACTCGTTGTGGTTAGTTTGATGAACAAATGGTTAACCCAAACAAGGATTTAAAATCACAATAACAGATTCAGAGCTATGCTCAAGTTGAATTCACTACAAAACTCGTTTTCATTAATAAAAAGGATGGAAGACAGAACTTTCTATTTCTTACATGGTAACATATATCTAAAATATATATATGTAACATACATCTAAAATATATATATGTAACATACATCTAAAAGATACATGGTAACATACATCTAAAAGATATATGGTAACATATAACTAAAAGATACATGGTAACATACATCTAAAAGATATATGGTAACATATAACTAAAAGATACATGGTAACATACATCTAAAAGATACATGGTAACATATAACTAAAAGATACGTGATAACATACATCTAAAAGATACATGGCAACATACATCTAAAAGATACATGGCAACATACATCTAAAAGATACATGGTAACATACATCTAAAAGATACATGGTAACATACATCTAAAAGATACATGGTAACATACATCTAAAAGATACATGGTAACATACATCTAAAAGATACATGGTAACATACATCTAAAAGATACATGGTAACATATAAGTAAAAGATACATGGTAACATACATCTAAAATATACATGGTAACATACATCTAAAAGATACATGGTAACATATATCTAAAAGATACATGGTAACATATATCTAAAAGATACATGGTAACATAAAAGTAAAAGATACATGGTAACATATATCTAAAATATACATGGTAACATACATCTAAAATATACATGGTAACATACATCTAAAAGATACATGGTAACATACATCTAAAAGATACGTGATAACATACATCTAAAAGATACATGGTAACATACATCTAAAATATACATGGTAACATACATCTAAAAGATACATGGTAACATATAAGTAAAAGATACATGGTAACATACATCTAAAAGATACGTGGTAACATACACCTAAAAGATACATGGTAACATACATCTAAAAGATACATGGTAACATACATCTAAAAGATACATGGTAACATATATCTAAAAGATACATGGTAACATACATCTAAAATATATATGGTAACATATATCTAAAAGATACATGGTAACATACATCTAAAATATATATGGTAACATACATCTAAAAGATACATGGTGTCATATATCTTAAAGATACGTGGTAACATATAACTAAAAGATACGTGATGTCATATATCTTAAAGATACATGGTAACATACATCTAAAAGATACGTGGTAACATATAACTAAAAGATACGTGGTAACCATATATATAAAAGATATACGGTAACATATATCTAAAATCAGATTTTATGAATACAGACTTCCTTTTTAATAAATAAACAAAAAAAAAAGATAACATAACTGCAAGCTGTAATAACAAGAGTTTATTTATATAAAGAGCAAAACTGTACACTATACAGAGAGCTGAACTAACTTAATAGAAAACACTGTGACATTTTTAAATTATCAATGTATACGGCTGTTTAGCTGATTTTTTACTTACATACCATTTCTGGGTCTTTTATAAATTCAGAACGTAGTTTTAAAGATGTTCTAAGCCACAGTAGAGAAAACTTAAGTCTGGCTTAGTTTCTTCAGATATTAGCTTACCAAGTACTGTGAATAACGTACTAACAGTATTACATAATTAGGGCTATGTATCAGTTATCCAGTTCTGATACGATATATATCATAGTGTATTGAAAACTAGATCAATATGTATTGTGATACACCAGACACAGGTCAAAGTACTAGTACTACTGACACCTAAAGTGACACTAGTCAATCAGCAAGGAATAGAACATGAATTAGGTTTTTATATCTTAAAATAAAATACATCACAAAATGACATATAAATTTTAGTTAACATTTATTCATTCCCTCAGATTGATTTTATGTTGCCAGGTGTTAAGAAGCTCCACATTATAGACTTAATGCCACAAAATTATGTTTCATTGTGTTAATATTATTAGAGTCTGAATTTTATTTAACAACTTTTGTATGTAATATGATAATCACATGGATAAAATATTTTTGTATGCTCAGATAATGCAGTGGCAATTAAACTAAATATTCTGCAGTGAATGAATTAGTGTTTAAACATTTACAGTCACTATTAGTACCATCAATGATATTTTTGTATTTTCTGATAGAAATGCAGCTTCATGTAAGAAAAATGAAGAGTTACCTTGCTAAAGAGTTGTAACCAAGAGTAGTTAGACTATTAAACTTTCTAATGGAAACTTTACTATTTGCTATATGATTTGTAAATACAAGTAATTTCCAAAAGTACTCTACCTGTATCAAACATGGTGAATTTTCACGATGTTCATGTATGTTTATGTAACCAAGTACTGTTTTCAATTTAAAAGTTAAATGTACAGTAAACTATACTAATGATGTACAAACAGTAAAAAATTTCAACAGTAGAAAACCCTTATGAAGAAAATGCAGTTTTTCCAATATAGTTGGGCTTTATATTTTTCTCAATTTAATGATCCATGGCCCTCCTCTGACCTACTTCATTACATTAGATTTAGAGTATTGTATTAATAATGGCTCCCATAAACTTTATATTGAAAATAAAAATACGTTTATGCAAAAAGTGCAAATCCTTACTTTAACTTCAAATTTCAAGTTTAACTTACTAATAATCTTATTTTCTAAAACATTTATTACTTTGATAAGGCCTAACGTTCGTATAATTTAAAAAGTCACACAACACAGTTGGTGTTAGAGCTTTTTACAACTCAGACGATAAGGCTAAGTGTACGAGAATTTTTTTAAATTTTATCGTAGTACTTGTAATTTAATAATAATAATAGATCTATGAAACTTCTAACTGTTACAAACCCTACTTTAAACAATTCTTCTGTCAAGTTTACAAAAACTTTTTACAATTATGAACACTAGGATCAAAAGAAGCAGTACATTTATTATCGACATATATGATAAACTTCAAAATAAACCAACTTGTAATCGCTGAAAATCGTCATCCGATAGTAAAGCAGCCATCTTCAATTGCCAGTATATAGAACTGTGGCGCAATCTATAAGTACAAAACGTTTTGTGGAAACTAAATCTTAAAAATAACAATTAATATATTAATAACGTTTTTTTTCAGAATTCGTGACAATAGTTGACTGCCCACTACTGTCTGTACAACTTTGTTGTAGTTGTCGAATCCAGTATCATCTACCACATTCAATGTTTCTCAGCAATTATCTGACAACTGTAGCAGATTAGAAGGCGAAATGTAGGATATAAATAAATTGTTAGTAATAAAACTATTGACTAATTGTAAGTTATGGCGTACGGGAACGTCAGTAACCACTTCTTGAATAACAAAGCGATGGTGCATCTAATAACACGGTAATGTTTCTTCCGAGTGTTATCGTGAAGCAGAAAATATTCACCTCAAGTGAAGTAGGAACCTTCATCTTATGAAAAAATCTCCACTCGAGCTTCTTTCTTTTCTTTTTTTAATGACCACAAGTGTGTGTGCTAAAAAATGATAAAATTAACTTATGTAACATTATGTGTTAAAAAAACTCTTAAGCTATGATCTTTCTGAATGCGTATAAAGTACCATTCAAAAACATTATTGTGTGCCTCCTCTACAAGTTATAAATATCAAATCCAATAGTCTACTCCTTTAACTAGGTAAAAAATAAAAACCATTACAGTCTACTCTTTAAACTAAATAAAACAAAATCAAAACGAGTACAATATACTCTTTAAAATAGATTTTTAGAAAATCATAATCAATACAGTCTACTCCTTAAACAAGATACAAAAATTAGAACTCGATTAGAATGTGCTCCAATAACCACAAACAAAATTGAAAACCAGCAAAGTCTACTGTTTAAACTATGCAAAAAAAGTAGAATCACAACACAGTCTACTTAAACCAGACACAAATGGAAAGGCACTTAGAGGGTACAACCCCCGCCCCGTAAAGTTTTCGACTTTAGCAGCTTCCTACCTAATATATACAATAAACAATTCCTCGCCCTTAAAAAGTAGGTCTAAGTGCTAAGATCCTCTTTCTATCTAACTTGTACAACATTTGATTGAAATATAATAAAATTTAATAATATAGTTTAACTTCATTAGTATAATAAAACGATGTTCAATAAATATATTTTAACTTAATTTTGATAATAAAAGTATACTTAACTGTACATTTTAATTTAGTTAATATGTAGCATCGTGTAGAACATTAACGCTTATTATAATTTTGGATTGAATTTTGCTACGTCTAGTTGTGACATTGAAAAACATGAAACATTAATGATATATTTCTATTTTTCTAAGGCTTCTCTTTTATGCCTATCAGTACATATTCAAAATGTTATATTTTATATGTATATCCGTAATATATATAAGATAAATAGAAAATTTGATAAAATGGATTTCGTTAAATGGATTTGTTTTACAATCCGTGAATGCACACGCATGTTTATTATTTTGGGGTAAAAACTGAACATTTTGAAGTTTGAAACGTATATTCCCTGGATTAAAAGCAATGCTGATTTCTTTATTTCAATGATGTAACAATTGTCGGGTATTTTCAGCAGAACGTTACGTCTCCGTCTGTTAATTAACTTTCCGTAATATCGTTCCGACGAAACTTTAGCGACACAAGTCCTTACTTAATAAAACTGGTTTATTCTTTCTGAATATAACTTTACGATACACTTGATTTCAACATTCGCGCTAAAACAAACGTTATAACGAACTTCAACAATACTCTCTGACTGCAGATCAATTACTACACACACTGTCACGTCACGCCGTGACCATCTTATATACCAGACCACCCCCCAATCTAGTAAATGCTAGAGCACTCCCGAAGGAACGGGATAGTTCTAGAAAGCAGGTGGCGTGACACTAGTCACGTGACCTCGCTGACGCAACAGTATATTTAATGGAATAAATTATACATTTGACACAACGTCTGTAAGTTATTACGTTTTAATTATAATAGTAGGTTTTTGAATGTGGACTTTGCCTGGACAAAAAAATGGAAATAAATGAAAAATTATTAGAAATATAAAAAATATCTAA